AGATCTGTTCCCAAGCATGCTTATTTGCTTGTAGTGCTATTGTAGTGCTAACCTTTCTCCAAAGGAGGACAGTAGTCCAAAAATGTTCAAGTAGCAAAGAATTTATAAAAGATTTATATACATATTTATAACATGCCTGAGCTCCTTCTCCTTGTGTGCAATGACCGTTTTATGATGTGAAGACTATTGGATCTGAACGCTCGACATGGGCCTACAAATGTTGTAGATTTTTAGCTAAATCTACATCTGTCCACTGCAGAGGCTCAAACCACAACCTGGAGGAGGAACTAGTATAAATGACTATTGGTATAATATAACCATAACATTATTTACATTAGGTTTTAGTCTTCACTAACCCACTGTGCTTGTAAATCATTTATGGACATATGTGAGTGAAAGAGTTGCACTGCAGAGCCCTGCTTCACTGTACTATTGTACATAAAAGCCTACTGGATATTTATAATATAAATGTATATTAAAAGACATAAGTTGACATCATCCTTATTTACAAACAGTGCCACAATTACAAGATGCGGTTAACATAAATCATGATATAAATATCTGAAAGTGACAACAGGGCTCTTTTATGGTGCTGGAGGAAGGAGTGGTGTTCAGCATTAAAAGATCTGAAAGCCCCAGAGCTAGAGATAATTTTTGACTCTCATTAATGCTCACCAGGTTTCACACATTAGTATGCCTACATAACTTTTGAGAACTACAGGCTGCATTAAAAATATTTACTCTACTTAACTAACATAAGTTTTTTACACTGGCAAAAATAGCAAAGGAAATTTTACAACTCCACAGATTTGTTTTAGAAGAATTTTGTTTTGACACATAACAACAGTAGATGGTGGAAGCTGAGAGTTTTTAGCAGCTATAAAACCACAGAAAAAAACTGGAAGGCAGGTGAAGTTCTGCACAACCTGCAAACTCAGTGATCAGCCTCCTCTGGTAGCAGTGCCAGCCTTCTCTTTGATATAAACACAAGTCAAAAGGTCAAACCCTTAATTGCCTGTTGCCGCCACAGAAGGCGGCAGAGTGACCTCTGCTGGTTGAGCTTCCTCATAGCAAGAAGGCCTATAAATATGTTAGGAAACTAAAATATGAATTAAATAATATAAACTTAAATAAATTGGCTAACTGCTATCCTAAGCTACATATAACATTAGTTCAATTGTCTTAATCTGAAGTTACAGGTCACCAATGGCCTTACAAATGTTTAATTCTGCCAGAGCAATTATTTTATTATTTTTAATTTTATTTCAGTTAACTCAAGTGTTTTTTTCACACCCAGTGCTACTTTAGTTTTACTTTTAAAAAAAAAGTTATTTTAGTTTAGTTTTAGTCTAAAATCACCTTTCTAACTACATGGTACATGGGCTACTTTTATTTTGAAAGTTTTACCGGTTACTATCCCTTCCATAAAAGGACTAGACTACGTGACTTCCGTTTTTGGTTTATAACGAAAAACGAATTGAGTGAAGTTCACAGACTCTCTTCATTCTTTGTTCAAAAAGGAATAACAATAAAATGAATCGCCAAAAACAAAAAACGGGCCGTTTTTAATTGGTTTTTCGTTTTTTGATTCTGACACCAAAAACGGTTATTTGGTTTTTAGTTTTGAAACAAAAAACAGATAAACGGTATTTTCGTTTTAGTATTACAAACGAATTACGGATTATCCAGAGATACACAGACCAGTCAGCCCCACATTCACATAAACTCTCAGGCTCCACATGTTTATGCAACAATCCAGCCAGCCTAGATCACCAAACGTAGTGAGTCAGTTTCTCCACAGAGCAGTGACATTGGCTCCACTGATGCTGCCCTGATCTCTATAAGCCACAGCTGATTTACTGAGAGTTTCCCAGTCAGTCTCTTCCCCTGGAGGCCAATCAGCCCTCATTAAATTCTTCCCCAGTAAGCAAAGTTATTCACCTAAAGTATTTATTGCTTTGTTGGAGCAGTAAACAAACTGAAGAATAAATGGATAACAGGCAGCTGGTGATGCTTTGCAGAGAGAGCCAGCGGGGCCACTAGAGGGCGACTCTTGTCAAAGGAAGGAGCGATATGAGGAGGTGCCCATCCGCTCTAAGTCTACATGACTGGCAGCTTGGCCTTACTTCTCCATTTCAGTTCAATTCATGCAGGTATCTAGATAAAAATAATTATCTAGTGGCACAGTCTCTTTTGCTTATTGAGCCTGAGAAAGAAACACAATAATGTAGAAAGAAAGTTTCTCACTGGACAGAAATTACTTTTACAACTAGGCCTGCTTTTATTAGGATTTATTCTACTCAGCATATGGTTTCTGTCCGGTGAAAACCACAGGACTAACCAAGCCCTGTGTAATGTGCTTGTGAAATTCTTACCGAATGTGGGTTTTGAGTTTAGGGATAATGCATGCAGTGAAAAGGGTGTTGGCCAGTTTTGTTAGCAGAAAAATACCATCTTCCAACTCTTGAAACACTGAGTATTGTCTGTTTCTTGTTGTCAGTATGAGATCTGTGGTTTTCATTGGGGAAGAGCAGGGGGTCTCTGCAGTCCCATCAGGAGAATTAGAGTCTCACAAGCTGTTGCTGTGTCACTGGCAGGAACAACACGGGAGACTGGAGAGATGTCACTTCAGCTCATGTCAGCCGTGTCATTTTGTTTGTCACTTTGGCAGTTCAGTCTGTGACAGTTCAACTTCAGCTTGTGATGAGAAAACATCTGAGTCCGTAAGGCTTTAAATTGCATTAATGCTTTACTGGCTCAATATTTGTTCCAGTTAGCCACTGATTTAAAACAGAATTGTACTTGATAATACAATCACTTCTCCAATCAACCTGGACCAACAGAAATGTTCAGAAATCAATAAATAATAAATCACCAATAATAAATAAACAACAATATATGCGTATTGAATATGTGTCCTTGCTCTATTTGTTCTACTGTTTTCCAATTTGTGTCTGTCGTCATTAGCAAGTTCACAGCCAAACTGCTTGGAGAATAGACATCAAAAATAGAAATGGAAAGTATGTTTGTGTGATTCTCTGAAATAAAAAGACTTCCCCTGGAGAGACAAGCCAGTGGGATGAGCAGAAAGCTGCAGCTGGATGTACAACAAGGTCACTGCCGATATGAGAGGAATCCCATGAGCAATGTCTGGGATGGCAACTTGTGGCAGCTGGATATTTTCTCTAAGAAGAAACAAACATTTAATCCCATTAATGGCCTAATTGACCGGATGTACTAACCCTACACAGATGTCACTTTAGAGACAGTGTACACAGGTTACCGTAATGAATTGGGGGACAGTGAAGGGGGAATAGGACAAAAACTATCCCACTACTATCTAAGGTTTCCCTGGTTATTTTTTCTGTACTTTGTGTGAAAGCATCATCCGGATGTTTGCATGTCTGGTTCACCTGGTAACTGCGGGAAGCCATGCAGCAAGACACGCAGGAGAAGCTCAGTGAGGTGGAAGGTGCAGTAATGTAAAGGCCACTTACTGTTACACCTTTATGGAAAAATATAAGGCCAAATAACAAAGAGATATTACTATGGATTCATACATTTGCAAATGCACCAGCTCATGGCTTAAAACAACGCTTTAATAGATGTAACCAAAAATAAGAGATCAATAGAAGAATGCATATGAAAAGACAAAACTATGCTAACAAAATTGGATCATGTGGTGTTCCAGCCATGAACGAAACACTGAGCACAAACTGTGCCAAATGTGTTGTTTGTAAGAAATACTCCCTTCTTATGACAAATCTTGGCAGGATTTGGGCACTTAAAGGCTCAAAGATACATAATCATGCAAGCTGAGACGTCTGGGAACAAGCTTTTGGCCCTGATTAGACAAGTGAATTCCACTACAGCTAATGAATACATACAAATAACTTTTTCTGAATATTTATTCACTGATTCACTTTAACATCGTTTTCCCTCTCACCTCATGCTGTTCATGAAAAAAAATCAAAACAGTGAAAAAAATCGAAACATTCAGATGATTATAAAGTTGGCTCACACAGAGTTCTCAGGTTTGGTCATCTACAGCTTATCCATTACTTACTTACATTATTTCTCTGTGTAACGAAAATCACTGTTAAGACTTACTAAGTATTAAAAGGCAATACTTCCATTTGCACAAGGCCCACTACAGTTGAATATAAATGACTCCAAAGAAAGCTCACCCAAAGGCTGCAATTTTCACCCAAAGTGCACAATTTTCAATACCCCTAAAAAAATGGGAAACGGAAGACACGTAGTCTATTCCTCAACACCTTACACTGGAGTTAGTTAAATCTGCATTGATTTAGCATTTCCTTCAACTCTAAAAGTACTCGTTTCATAACCAACATCGTGCCAATATGTGTATGTTGCCATTTAGACAATAGCACCTATCCATCTCTGGAAACCGTTGTGATTTGGGTAGCACATTGCAACACAGGCTCACCATAGTAACCTTTGTGAGGACGCACCGCCTGTGTTTACTGCTTTTATTATTCCGGTTTCTTTCTGGCGTGTCTCTGTTTAGTTCTTGGCTCTGAGCCTCACTTAATAGGGTCCTGTGAGAACCACAGCAAACTCAGGGCAGCCATGATAGTTTGTAGTTAACTCTTCTGGGACATGAGATCTTGTCATTGAGAAGGTTTAACTCATGTCTGTTTCACATCCAGCAGTGAGAACGAGAGCAGAAATTCTCTTCTGCAACCAGCATTATAACTAGTGAGTATTAGTCAGTATCATTCATTTCCACTCAACAAAACTATACTTTCAACATATTATTTTTCAGCCGTTCAATTTCTGATGTGCTTTTAATTAAAATGTCAAAAGATTCTTCCCATTCAGTGTGCTGCTGTCATTAAAATGTGTTTTAGCCAGAATCAGACAGACAATCTTCATGGAAAAAGAGGTATTTGATTTTCTTCAAAATACATTCAGTTATATAACGTTCATTAGTACATGGTTAACATAAGGCACTATAGACCCTCACAAAGGCCTCACAAAGGCCTCACAAAGGAATTCCCATTTAAATCAAAATAACTCCCTCCAGCTGGAACATTTGCGGTAATAAATACAGTTCCAGACCAAAAGCAAAGCAAATTTTGGCTTCACCAGTGTGAATGCAGTCTGAACACACAAGACTGTTTGCAGTTTGTTTACAGTCTTATGATTATTCCATTTTGATTTCAGTGCAAATGTCTTGTTTGTTGATGGGCCAACACCGCATTCACTGTACGTCCAGTCATTTGCCATGCTTGGACACACTTAATCTGGGTCATCAGTAAAAACAGACTTCATGTGTGACTGGCTTCATTGTGAAGCTACCAAGAAGGAACTTTGCTACTATACTGTTAGCTGACCCTGGGTCTGGGAACTACTTTTCACCTGGTCGACAATCTCCCAGGTGAAGCTTGAGCACCCCCTGACTGTGCAGCCGCAACAAGAGGTCAAACTCAGCCGGCATGGCGTGGAATTTCGTTTTAGCTTGTCTATCATCGTAGTAGTGGTTAGTCAGGGCATGGAGTCCATGTGGGTGATTACTGAACGGCCAGAACCCGTACAGATGTACATTGTCACAGCGTTCCAGCGCAAGGCTAGCCATGATTATGCCGGTGCTGAGCCGCACTGCTCGCAGACCTTGGGAGCGCCAGAAGAGGGCCAGACTCTGGATGTAGCTGGGGTTGAAGAAAATGGGCCGGGTGGGGCTTTTAAAGTCCTCAATGGTGTAGACAGCCCGCAAGCACACAGGTGTGTTGTGTCCGAAGGAGAAGGCGGGAAGGAGCAGCAGGGAGTTGCCGTAGCTACGCAGACTCTCCACAAATGGACGGCGACGCCCATTTAGTGCCCCATACCTGAAAATAAAAAATACATGTGAAGCAACAAGACAAAGGAACATTTTAAAGCGACACTGCCGTGATATTCATGCTCTTGCTCACTTCTCTAGGAGTATGCTTGGGTTTGCTGTCACAAGGTCAGTCTTGATGCCCACATGTTTCTCATAGCCGTTTTCCAAAGGAGGAAGGTTGCACCTGAAGATGTAACAAGGATGAGATAAACACCGTTATATAGAATTTCAACAGAGATGAGTTTAATTCTGTTGGTTAACTTTGGACATCTTTCTCACCTGATAACAAATTGAGCTGAATCGATCATCTTCCCACAGCCACTGTCAGTCAGAATCCCTCCGTTCCCGACAACAGCACACGTATCCCAAGTTTTATTTGGGAAAGGATGCTCCTGGAATCAACACAAACAGAAAATGCATTACAAAAAATTATTAATAGTGATAATAATATACAGTGTGTGAATAACAGTCTTGTCACCAACATTTTTATGTTTTTTTATTGACATGGTGGGATCAAAGTCAAATAAATAATTGTTACTATGATTAATGATACACCAGTTGTGCCATCTAAAGGCAAAAGATTATTGCATTTCTCTGCCACATTCTGCAAACCCTGACATATTTGGTCTAGAAATGCAGACTTCAGAGACTGTGGGACTTAATTCGAACACACTCCTGAAAGATTCCTGAAATAAGATTTCAGAAGCAGAATCACAAAAAATTGCACCAATAATACAACGAGATTTGCTGTGCAACTCCTAAAATAAAAGAAACACTGTACATACATGCGCACACACTCATTCACCCTCAGTTATGATTTCTTTTTTAAAAGCTACATAATAAATACTAAGTTCCTTAAAATGCTACAGCGCAGTATACTATATTGCACATAATTTTGCCTCAGTTATTACATCATTTAACAACAGTTAGACCAAAGTTATTGCAGGTCATTCAAAGATAACAGAACAAAGATAACGCCTCCTGTTACAATTTGCACAACACTCATGAAAGTGTCTTGTGAAATGTAAGGGGTGTGATGAGGTCTTCCTGAGATGAATGTTTAAAAAAAGACTCACTTCTACTTTACCAGATTAATGTTTAAAGAGTTGAGATGTCTTTACAATCATTAAATAGATTGCTGTGGCCATTTGTTCATGGTTCACAGATGATGAATCTTAATGATGCCCTGTCTTTTCATCTAGCGCCACCAGCAGGTCAAAGTTTAAACTTATTCTGTGAAATATCTCAACATGTACTTTATATACTGGCACAAACTTTGTACAGACATGCATGATTCCCATATGCTGAATACTACAACTTTGGAGATCCCCTGACCTTTTATCTGGCGCCAATATGAGGTTGACATTTGAGGTTTTGAGTGAAATGTCTCAACAACAATTGGATAAATTACCATGACATTTGGTACAGACATTTATGTCCCCCTCAGGGTAAATTGGAATAACATCAGCATCTGGTATACATTTCAATGTATCCAGTGCTTTGAACAAATAGCTTAATTTCCTTTTATCACATGGCTGTTTTGTTGTACTATGTATTGTGTGTATGGTAGTCACAATTTTTACTGTTTACTTTTGTTTTATTGAGCTTTCATGCTGCTTTGCTGCTTGCTCTCCCTAATGTGTGAAATAGAGGCATGTACATAGCTGAGGTCAAAGTCAAGATTGAAACTCTTTTCTCGTTTCATTAGGAGGAAGAAATAGTGCTTATTTGCACAATTGTATAAATTATTAAACTACCTTCATTAATTCATAATTTTACCTGGTAGAATGTGGTGTATATTTTGAACATAATGATATTGTCACATAATACTGTATGATAACAGATAACATGCAGAAGGGGTATAGCTCAGTGGTAGAGGTCAAATCTGGGCGCCCCCTAGGGTTTTTTGTGTATCACAGTGCCCATGTGTGAGGAGACACATGACTTATGGCAGAACATGCAAAGCAATGAAATTATCATCCAACAAGCAACATATGTTGTGTTAATATTCACAAACATCATACCTTTGCAAAGGTGCTGAAAATCTCTGGGGTCACCTGGAGGGTCCTTTTCTTTTCCCCGTCGTACACAACCTTTGATCCCACTGGAATGTTGGCCTGGGTAATGATTGCCTTTTCAAAACCATTGCACTTGCTGCTCAGCTGAGATCTGGGGAACCCCAAGAACTCTGTTAAAGTTTCTCTATATGAGATTATAAACATTAATAAAGCATCACACAACTATTTGCTAGCCTGAAGATGGGAAGTGGAGTAACGGCATCTGTGTGTGCTGTCATCCGAGCTTCTCTGTTCTTTGTTTTGGTAGTCAGTCTGGCCGTGCACGTGAGTCCATTGCTGTGAAAATGTTGGCTTGAAAGAGAGCAATATAAAAGCAGGTTCTTTTATCATCTAACATATCTAACAAAGATTTTATATTATATATAATAAACAAAAAGGATCCGTCTGTTTAACAAAAAGGTTGCTCTCTACAGGGATCCTTTCTATAATGTCGTCATGTTGGACATTTTGTGGACGTATGCTGCGTTGACGGGTGCATTTGTCCCCAACAATTACATCGCAGCCAGTTTAATAGCTGCCGGGTCAGGACAGGCAGCAGAGTTCAGAGAATTAAGGGTCAACTAGCTAGTTGGTGATTACTGTACAATGGAAACACTAATTTGTTATAAACAGTTGTATGTTCTTTCTTTCCCATTTGATTGAAGTGTGTTTATGATGATCTGCGAGGTACAATGTCTGTTTTTCTCAATGGAGTCTGGTGGGCTGTAGCGCGCATTTGTTTTTGTCTGAGATGCTGGTGCTCTAGTGCTTTAGTGGCATTGGATGTCGCATACAGCTCCTTTGTTTAATATACAAGATGAGCAGGCAGGCTTTGTTTTGATGATTATAACAAAAAGGTTTATTTTGCGAGAATGGAAATCTGCCTCCTCTCCTTGTTTTAAGAAGTGTCTCAATGACATGGCATACATAGGTTTTCCTCATCTGACTCATAATGTAAATTTGTTAAAGGCGCAATCTGTAAGAAGTGAAACTGAGCACTGAGCTATAATATCGGACTTAAGCCTCTTGAGGTACAAAGTGGTATTACGAGACTGACCAGGACTAGCTAATAACTTTAGAAGATATCTCTGCATCACAATATATAGATGTCTGTGACATAACATCAGAACTGTTACTTCTTCACATTATGTCGATGATGAGTGTTCATTTAAAAAAATTAATTAATTAAAATTCTGGCCATATATTAAACATTGAACCTTTAGGATTTGGGGTCCCTTTTTAATCTGATCAGAAAGCAAATGGACTCAGCTGCAACTTAGTAGTGTATGTTGATTTATGTACCCCTCTTGAGTTTTGCTTGTCATACAATCTATTTGAACTACCTTTTAATACTCATTGTACATCCCCGGACTGTAACAACGTACAAACAATACTTGTCTATTTGGACATTTCTGTCACGGCAACTATGGACGATGGGAATACATCCTATCTGAGAGTGCAGAGACAATTATTTGTAATTCTGGCAAAAACTTTGACAAGGATTTTGTCTTTTTTACCTGAATTTTTTATAATTGTCCTCCTGCTTCTTCCAGGTTTGAGAGTAACGCTCTTTTACTTTGTCGATGATCTCCCTGTGACACGCACACATGGACAAATATCCAAATACACAGTCAAGTATGTAATCCCTGTAATGGTGTCATGACTGGATCTGATGAAAGCGTAAACAAAAAGGTCACGTAAGGACAAGCAGTGAATGTGTTTGCTCTCACTTGCAGCCTTTGCAGAGGTCAGAGGGCTGAGGTGCAGTTTTCTTTTGAGGAGGTGGTTTGTGAGGTAGCACATTGCTGTGGAGCAAATGAGAGAGAAATGGAACATGTGAGTAAAATGCAGAAGCCAGAGAGAAACGTTGTATACATCAGTTGAGAAGAAAATCATCTTAAATGTTCTGTATCGTTTGTTTCCATGCTCATGTTCATTGCATAAAGTAATCTTAATTATGTCAGCATCTAATGAAGTGAATGCTTTTATGCAATCAACTATGTAGTTCAACATTGATGCATGAATGGGGATTAAACACAAATAAACACTAAAGCAAACAGAGTGATCAAACAAAGTTATGCATTCAGGAATATCCCATTCAATGAGTGAGCGTCACACAACATCAATGAACAACCACTGTACAAACTCAAAGGCAGAGAAAGAGAGAGACCTTTGCTACTTAGATGCAGATATGATTCTTCCTGTTTATAAGCTTCCACAATGAACAACAATTAAAAAATAATTTATTTTAAGTGGACACAGGGACAACACATACCCTGTAGCTGTACACTGTATAATTTTCTGAATTTTGTCAGTGAAGAAGGAAGCATTTTAATTGCAGGCACCGGTAGACAGAGGATACTGACACATGATTGCTTGGTAGCCTGTTGACCGTAGCAACAGGTGTCAAAGAAGAAGGACTGCTTTGGATTTCTCACTTTCACTTTTCTTATCAGGTACCACCTTCCCTTAAGAGGGTGCAGTGGCATCAGTAACATATGGATTTTTAAGAGTTTATCTACAATCTTCTTAACTGAGACCCAAGATATGGCAGGTGGGGAGAGATGAGCCTGAATAAATATTTCCCTGGTGTTTTCATGGATATGTCCTTTAGGTCTACCTCTGAACATTTATGTGCACAGAGAAAGCACGCTCAAAGAAAACACAGGAATGATCTAATAGAACATCTGTCAACCCGTGACAGAAATGTTCAGACTCTTGGAGATGCCCAGAGTGTGCCTCTTATTGTGTGTGGGCTCCTCACTGTCAGTCCAAGAACACAACACAGTTCTTTAGTCTCTCAGTCCTGGGGGTTGTTAACATGGATGTTAAAATCTCCATCAAAAAACTACACGGTCAATGTCAGGACAGACCATAGACAGCAGTTCAGTAAAGTCATCCAAAAAGTTTGCACAGCATTTAGGTGGCCTGTAGATATTTAGAAATATAGCTTATGAAGAGGAATTCAACTGAAGAGTCACATCTTCTTGCATTGGGAGTCATTAAACAAAATGTCAACTCCACCTCCTTTCTTTTGCACTCCAACTTTGCTCATAAAGCTTAAGTTGGAAGGAGTTGACTGGATAAGAACAGCTGCACAGATTAAATTTTGATACATCGGTATAATCAGTTTAGTTCTTGTTTCTTATTTTATTTAGTTCAACATTCTTTTTCTATTACATATCAAGACCGGAACTGAGAAAGTTATTGGCACACTGGGCCCCCTGCTTATCCTGCGAAGAGTCATGGCTGCCGGCTGATAAGAGTTAAGTGGGAAAGACTGACAAAGTGTGCAGGGGGGAAACACTTAAAATGCATCTTCCCCCATAAACTATCATCAACTGCTATAGGAGCATCTTAAAAGCTACCACTCTTTTGTCTTCTTGTAGACCTTCCCAACTGGTGTGTGTGTGTGTGCGCTCGCGCACGTGTTTTCTATAGGTGGTCCAGAAAGGTGCTTACACACTTACTTGTCGTCGTGCAGGCTCCAGATAGTCAGCAGGCTCCCCACGCAGAGGAGAGTGATCACCAAAGAGAAGAGTGACTTCAAGAGTCCCCTCATACCTCTCCCCTCCTTCTAACTAATCCCGCTAGCCCCCTCACCTTCTGTCTCTCTCTGTCCCGCTTCACGTTGCTCAACACTCACCCGTTATCTGCTCTCTGTCACGCTCCCTCTGTTTACAGATTCCCCCCTCGGCTCGTTCTCCCCGGCTGAGCCACACACACACACACACACACACACACACACACACACACACACGCACACACACACACTCGCTCTACCTCTCTCTCCACACCGTTAATCTTTCGCTTCTCTTTCTTGTATTTTCTTTAAACTTAACCCCCCCTCCTCCTGCACTGGCGTGCTCTTCCTGTCTGATTTGACTCGGTGTTGGTCTCCTCCTTCCTCTTCGGGTGAATGAGAGAACGCCTCCTCAGTTAGATGCTTTCTTTTTATGCCTCTTGTTCAGGCAAGCCCTCTGTCCTCTGTGTACCTCTACCTTGTCTTTCCTCTCTTCCCGTTTGTGCCCAGGACAGCTGAGACAAACCCGATGGTCTGTTGCTCCACGTCCTACTTTACTTTAATCCTTGTCATGTTTCTTTGATTCACCCATTCTCTTTCCTCTTTTTCTCATGTGTTCACGCAGGCAAACTCTAAATCCTACTTTCCACTGCAGTCTCAAAGCCAGTCCTTTCTTTACTCCGCCCCAATCCCTGAGCCCCAGCCTGCCCTCTTTGCTTTTCCCCTCCCTTCCTTTAGCTATCCACGCCCACACCCCTTAAGCCCCTCTCCCCTTTGCACAAAAAGGCAGTAACATGAGTGCCCAGGACTGAATTAGCCCACAGTCTTTTTTGTTGCCTCTTGACTTGTGTGTGTGTGTGTGTGTGTGTGTGTGTGTGTGTGTGTGTGAGGAAACACTTTCAAAACCAGTGAGGGGCAGAGCAGGCGAGGGGCTGAGGCTTCCCTTCCAATCAGAGTGACTTCTAATACCCCTCAAACTCTTACCAACACACACACACACACATTTTATTTCACCTTCAATTTAAACATCACACTTTGCCAGCTGTGCCGGCTCCCTTTACAATACAAGTGAGTGTTTCTGATTTTGAGGGGCGGGAGGGAGTTGGGGATTGGGGGTTGGGGCCCGAGGAAGGGAAGTCTCCACTCGGCTGAGATGGGAACCTTCCTCTAACATGGCAGAACTGCTGGCTGGATCAACAGGATAAATGAGAGAAGCAGAAAGTCAGAGGGAGCCAGACAGAGAGACAAAACGCACAGAGAGGTGGGGAGTTGTTGCCCAGAAGAGCCATAACTCATCTGTCGTTTGGCTTTCATTTGGGAGCCCTGCGTTGCCAGCTGTGGGATGGAAGGGGAATAAAATCAAGGGTGTAAAGCTAAAGGGGATTATAGGAAATATGTTGCGGATGCGGGATACATTTCACAAACAGATGGCCACACCCAGTTCTCCCGCATTTATCCCTTAAGATTATTTGGGTTTTCAGTGGAAAATTCCAGACTGAGCTCCTAGCAATAAAGCAATTATGCCCCGTAACTACATGCTGAGTAAGCCGAGTTGTGCCACAGCAACCTCACCACTCAACACACAAGTTGTTGGGTTTTTTTTGGCACACATCAGGGTTTGCAGGAAACCTTTTGGGGTTGTTTGAGGCCGTTTTGATGTGACCAGAGAGAAGATGGGGACATAATCAACAAAGATGTGCAACTAATAAAATCAGGCTAATAGTACTGTGGTGTACAACATATGTGCATCTGGCCATTACGTGTATCCGGCCATTACAGTTTAACATAATGCTCTGCAGCTGGTGAGAGGGACAGTGAACCCTTATGGGGAAGTATTGATTGATGGGTGCAGTGTTAGGGGAAGTAGAAATTAGGTATAAAGAGATTAGTGTGTATAAAGAGATTAGTGTGTATGAAGGGACTGTACCCTTCTGTGGTGTCTAATAGATGGTTACACTTATTTTACAGCACTGTGCCCTTATATGGTTTTTAGCAGAGACCTAAACATGTCCTATATAAGCTGTGTTCGATGTACAGAGAGACAGAGTGGTCATCGGGCTGGGTCACTCTCCAAGCTGCTGCAGAGCTTGTAATTGATGCTGAATTCTTTGATGTAATAAACTTTGATAATCAAGAACAGTGTCAAGCGGATTTCTTCTCAACACATCATCGCAGCATTATCGTTCGGACACCACAGTACCAACAGAGACAGAGAGTTGTTTAGGGAAAGTAAAAGCTACACTTAGCTTTTAGCTACAGCTTACGCTTTTAGCTACAGCTTACACCTGCTTATCATTTATGCAATGGTTCCTTGACTTATGAGCAGATCTGGTGACTAAAGTGAGCAGCTAAGCCTCTTATTAGGGATGTGTACTATGTGTTAACAATGGTACCGGTGTCATAGTATGCAAAACCCCTGTCCAAAATGACTTTACCCTCTCAGTTTGGGATATTTTCTGAAGGATTATTTCAATGTTTAATGTCAAATTCAGCCCTTCAGTCCATGCATCTTCAAAAAATCTCTACCTGGAGTGGAAACAAACGATACATCACTATTTCCTTTTGCACTGCCATTTCCTGGATATACCCTACCCTGAAAGCCAGGCCTCTGGGAGAAATCACACATACATGCATCATGAAAATGTGGAAATGTTGGGGAAAAATGGGTTTCTCCTGCATGGACACACCATGAAAATAACAAGGCTGTGTGAAAGAAAAAGGAAGCCACTGTCCCAGAATAATTGTAGTGAGTTACAGCAACAAACACTTTGCTTCTTCAGCGGCCTGTTAAATCAAATATCCAGACCTCTCATCTGGTTTCCCCTCATCACAGGCCATCTGCTGCCTCCCACATACAACAGTCAGTCATTAGCTTATTACAGACAATGCCAATTTCATCGAGAGACTCAATTTGTTATTTAACCTCATTAAAGCCAAAGAAGTGATTTTTCAAGATGACATTCATAATCTTGTAGCACGGGAGATTTATCAGCATTGTGCAGCTCTTGTCTTCCTGCAGGAGGCCCTCAGTCTCTTTTCCTCAGCATGGATGAATCATGCAGGAATTATCATCTCAGTGATGGATGCTTGTGTAATTATGAGCTAACTTTATGTGATTACTCTGTTATTCAGCAGAGGGAAATGCCAGCGCAAAGTAGACAAATTTCTGCTAAATTTTGCAATTTCCAGTTCGGACTGATTGCTTTGCCTCTGGTATTGCTCCCCTAGCAATGGTAGTGTATACACAACATATGGGTGCTCACATGAACATGGTTTGTGGTCAATGCCAAGCTGTTTTTCAAAAGGCTAGCCTTTTTTGGGGGTCTTATATTCCCAGATTCAACAAAATCAGGCTGCTGAATGGTGATGCCCAATGACGCCAATGCATGGATGAATGAATAAAAAATGCAAAAAAATACATAAATAACAAAAAATGTATACAAATCTTATTATAATTACAATTTATAATAATAAAAAGAATCACATCTACTTCCTGCTTTGAAAACCAAGGTTTTGTCATTACAATTGTGTGACTAATTAGACAAATTTAATAATAAAGAATAATGAATGGATCAGAAATAAGACCAATCTCACTTTTGTTGGGTCCACTGGGCTTCACAGGTGAATTAGTTCATTGTGCGACCAAAAATGAACTTTTCTTATAAAACAGTCACTTTCTGTAACTGGACATCCCCTAAACCTTCATCGCATGGGAAGCGAATTTACAAATCCCACTATGGATTATGTCGGACCTGCCCTACTCTGTCTCTGATTGGTTTACCCTGATATTCTTACCCTATCTCTAACCAGTCTCACTACTCATGCCTAAACCTAACCAACCCAACCAATGAAGGCAACGAGTACTAACCAATCAGAGGCAGAGCAGGGCGGGTCACGCCTTCCCCGTAGTAGGATTCATAAATTGGGGACAGCTAACAAAACTGCAGCTTACCTTGTATTTTTCTACTCTCATTGGCTCCACTCTCAGATCTGAGACCAGAGGTGTCCTCCTTCATGTAATCTACTCAGAGCAGATACACCTAACCAAACCGATTCTTACAGCAGCAATGCGAGAGCCAGCGTAAGATCTCTGTGAACAAGCTGAGTTAACACTAGCGCCAGCAGCTCCAACACAAAGTCTGCCAACTTGCGAGCGACCAACTTCCCCCCATTTCTGCAAGCAGACACTGCACAGCAAGGACTTTTCAACATTGGAACCACAATTCTTTCCAGCTACAACAGACTGATCGCCAGCTAACAGCAGCACCAAGGCAACCCTTTTCCTTCCATGGACTGGTAAAGTAACTTAACTGGGCATAATATAGCTTCACATACGTAGCTTAACAGTGTACACGGCTAAACACAGGACTGCTGTCAAAATGACTAGCAGGTACAAAATCTGTGGAATCCGTGCAGTAGATGGCTTCAGCCGGCAGCCACAAACTGGCTGAAGTGGCTGCGATGTATTCCTTTGGGGCAATTGCGCCCTTCAAAATTATGTCCATAAAAAGTGCTTCTTTTTGCCACTGACTGTTATAACATCATGGAAAGGATCCCTACAAGTGACTTCTGGTGACACCCTTTATTTTAATCAAGAAACAGAAGTCTCGCTATGAAATCTTGTGACAGTTGTTGCAGGAAGAGTAAGGAGTTTGTTGTGTTGGAGTACTGTTAATAAAGTCTTGCAAGCAGTTCTGCTGTACACAACAAACTCCTCTCTATTGTTTCCACCAGCATGTATGACTTTACCAGCTGATCATCCCCAGCTGCTCTTGCTCTTTAGGCGAAATTGTCCGCAAAACACTTAGCACACATGAAATACACATACAAAACACTGACAGGTTTAAGGTAAAATATATTGTACAGTATAGGAGACTTATGCCTTTAAACAGATGACAGAGGGAAGTGTCTCCCTGAAATTGGAAGGTTCACATTTATGGCATTCCAGCAAATAAGGACTAAAATTGATTCTCTGCCCAAAGTTAAACAAACCCTCAGCCAATTGCGAAAAGCCATGCTGAAAACATCTATTCATATGCTGACTTGTAACCTTGAACATGTGTACCTGATCATTTTCACCTCCTACATACAGTACATGTTATCTTACCTTGTTATATAATCACTACACCTCTGTGACTTCACATAAGCCCCCTCCTGCTATCTCAGAGATATACGGTTTTCTAAAAATGTGCTTTACATAGCTTGACAGCATGCAATGACTCAAGTTATTTAAATGAAAACTGTTACTAAGGTATGCAGAAGCACATATAAAGTGAATAAATGATAGTTCATGCTAGTTTACTTTCACAGTGGCATGCACTAATGGAGGTGGAGTGGTTGAGAGGCTGCAGGGGGGAGCGAAGTACTTCGTCTAAAGAGCCCATTGTAAGGTGAGGTCCAGGGTAGCATGGTGAAATGTGAGGAAGACAAAACATCATGCTGGCAGGGAGGCGTGCTGGCAAAATAGGCAGACATTTATTTTCAGTCTCCAAAAAGCAAAACAAAACATGAGACAACAAAAAAACATTCTTTACAGCTCAAAACAGTTCTGGGGCTGGCTGCTCTTTAAAAAATATATAAATAAAAAAACAGTCTGTTCTCTGCCATTCCACTCACACATTTAGCCAGCACTATGCTACCATAAATATTGTACATTAAAAATGAGCAAATTATTTGT